AACACAATAACAAAGTTTAATATTGTCGATCATATTCAACGGCGCGAAAGTAGCAAACGGAACAACTTGCAGTCCGTCTTGCGTCGGTGTCCGCTTTGACTGCCGTTCAGCAATGACTCGTCAACTCACGGTCACAGTTCCATACTGCGTCTGTGCTTGTGATGCCTTTGTTTTTGTTTTTTCCCATTTTTTTTTCTTTTTTTCCATGCAGTATGGACCCGGAATGGATGCAGAGGCAGTGCAGACAAGATTGGTAGGGAACGTCAATCAAATAGGGGGAACTGATATCAGACCGGCTGAGGAGACAGCGTAACGCCGTCGGACTTGTCACGTGGGATTTTTCATATTACGAACCGTCAATGCACTTGTATCCTCTAAGCGCGAGAAGAAAGATTTACAACCTCGTGGGGGTGTGCGACCGTCATAATAATAATAATTACAAGAAAGACGGGAACGCAAGATACAAGAAGGTCTTCTACGGTTACGGCCTTGTGGCTGCCTCGGTGACAGAGAAATGCAGCGCCACCATTGCATGTGTTGCTGTACAATATCATGAAGGGCTTACAATATGTGCAACGAAGACATGGAGACAAAAGATCCCGCGGAGTGATGCAGGAGACTTGATAGTGCGAGCGTACAAGCAACACGTTAAACAATATTGTAATCACGCGCGGGATGCAATGTTGGAATTCGTTGCTCGGAGGACTGCCATCACTGCTTCTATCTCAACAGTCATCATAGAGAGCCAAGAAACAACGGGGGTCAACCGCAAATTCAGAAAAATTCAGTTAACAACGAACTTCAACATTACAAAGAGTGTACTCCGCCGAGCCAACGGTCTCATCAACGACCTTGTTCATTTGCGCCGTTGTAGCACTTCGTGACGTTTTGGTATAGAGAAATTTGTAGCTCAGCACACGTAGACGGAGATAGCAATATAGTAGATCCTGCGCTCGTACGAGTGCTCATATCGTTTTTTTTCGTCATGTGCCGGATTTTAATTTTTTTAAAACGATGTCGAAACGCATTTCCATCTTCTGTACGATCATGTGTGGCTGCACATATTCGTAGTGTATAGGAGTGTATGAAGTCTAGGGCACCAACTTGCATAGACATTGTCTTCGTCAAAAAAAGAGAGAGAGAGAGAGAGAGAGAGAGAGAGAGAGAGAGAGAGAGAGAGAGNAGAGAGAGAGAGAGAGAGAGAGAGAGAGAGGGAGAGAGAGAGAGAGAAAGAGAGAGGGAGAGAGAGAGAGAGAAAGAGAGAGAGAGAGAGAGAGAGAGAGAGAGAGAGAGAGAGAGAGAGTCTCTCTATGTACATATATTTCCGCGCACATGTATCATATGTCGCATGACCCAAACTCCGCATCATTGTTTCTTTGTATTTATCTAAAGTACTCGATTTTTTTTTATATGGATTTCGAAAATATTCACATAATGTTGTTCGTAATTCGTGGGTGGCACGAAATGTCTCTAACTTTTATAGATGTCCATGGAGTTTTTTGTCATTGACTGAACCTGCCATATGTGTTTTTTTAGTATGATATCAATATGTTTATCTTGTCTTAATGCATTTGTCAATAAAAAACAAAAAATAAATGATATTATATTGCAAAATATAGTAAATGTTTATCGATGTGATAGAAAAGTACGATAAAACCCATCATGAAGACCCCTATAGCTTCATGTAATGCGAATGAAACTGTAACACCCCGCAAAATGTGTGAGAAAGCAATGCAAAACTTGTGGTGAACATGAGCATAAGTTATAAACAAATGCGGGGTACCTACCCAAAATGGTGCACTCAAAACGTAAAAATTCACCAAAATCAACATGAAAATAACAATTTCAATTTCGTTCAAAAAATATAAAATGTCCGTTTTGACGAAATCGCTGTTCCAACACAAAATTGAGGATGAATCGGAGTTCAATGCGGCGAAAGAGAGGGCGTTGAAGGTGTAGACAATCTCGCTGAGGGCGATTCATGGTTGGGTCTTCAATTCCGAGAGTAGACAATGGGGGTATCACCTGGCGTACCAGTACGCCTTGAATCACTTAGCCACTGACATCGCTAGAGCGATCTGGTCAGCAGAGGACTGACGCGCTTTGGTCACCACGATGTTATTCCGCACCACACTGGACGTGGATATGAAGTTGCCTTTGTGGTTCGTTGGCGCGAACATAGTGGACATGCACGAGGACGACGAGTGCGCGGCTTACCAGGAGGCTTGTGTTCAGCGTCTGGTGCGGGATTTTACGTGCGCAGTGGGCACGGCCGAAGCGATCGACGGCGGTCGTGCATCGTACGAGCGTCTGAAGGCCATGGCAGAGGCGATGAGGTACTTGCTTGCCGCAACAATGTGGATAATGCGAATGGCAGGGGACGATCCAAGATCTCATTACGACGCTTGGGTTTTTCTGCAACTGTCTGCGAAGATGACGCTGCTTGCGTCCATGAACCGTCAATTCGACGCCCGCCGCCACATCACGCAAGTCGCGCAAGTCATGACGGACAAGTTGGGGAGACCACCTCCGACCTTCGCCCCCCCACCTGTCAACATCCCTGATTGGGCGTCAAAGTGCGGAGTCACTTTCTCACACGACGCGACGTTGGCCTCCCCGATGGAGGCGAAAAGGTTGGATTGGCTGGGGACAGCCTGACAGGCCCCTCAGAGGACGACGATGAGGAGGACGGCGGTGATGACAAAGGCCAGGGTGGGTGATGTGGATGACATCGCGACAGGGAAGGGGATGATGTCGTCGCTTCTTTGACAACAGCAGCAAACGCAAGCAGTCACTCCACGGCAAACGGTTTGTGTAAATACTTCGCGTGATCGAACGGCATATCCGTCTTCCACTGACGTGGCGAACGCTCTCTATTTCGCCACGACCTGTCCGGATCGTAGGTACAGGAGGAAGGGGGTTTTGGGTTAGGGGCTTTCATGCGGGACATGGGTTGGGTACTGAATGGGCTTATGGGGGAGACGGGGGTTTGTGGCAGCGTGGGTGGTTGCTTTCGGGGCAGGAGTAGATGAGTACGCAGGTACAATGGGCGGCGACAGCTACATTTCGGTGGCCGCGCTCGTCGTTCAACCATTGTTGTGTAATACTGTGTACTTCTCCGCGATTTTGTATTTAGTAATTGTTGTTTTTCTTTTTTTTCGTTTTCGTTTATTAGGGCTTGCCATCTGAATGTTCTGTCTATCAATCGGACAAACAGATCTGCAATTTTGTGATCCGGAAATCCTTCCGTTTACTGATCTTGATGATCTTCAAAGCCATGCGTTGTTTTTGTTTTCAATCGATGCTTCAGTTTTTATATGGCGTATTTGAGGCAGGGTTGCTTTCTTCTCATATTGAATGGTGATTGTTGATGGCGAGAAATTGAAGCATCCAACAGTGTTTTCATCGTTATAGTTTTGGAACATCCAATGCATGCATTCATCTTCTTTTCCAATTTCTTGAAACAGATTGTAATGCGAGACGGGATTGGAAATGCATAAAATTGGGAATGGCATAGGTCGATGCAGACAAAGTGATAGACATTCTTCCGAACCACGGACACAACAACTGTGTCGCACCATTGCAATCGCATGCAATCAGAGTTCCCGCGAACACAAAAACGAAAGAAAAGATGAAGGAACGCAATTCTGCGCACACCAATATAAGCAAACAATACTCCGTCGTCAAAAGGGCAAAAGCCTTTCAAGGCAAATGCATTTCCATTCCGCAACCACATGGATGATCTCCCCCCCCCCCCCCCCCCCCCCCCCCCCCCCCCCTACTCTCATCATCACAATCACTATCTCCCCGAATGACACATCCAACCGCGCCATGCGGACTCCGCCAATGACGACATCCACCACCACCGATTACAATAGCGCACTCGACACTGACTGCAACCGCGCCAGTGCTCGAAACGGAACAAGTGAAACACACAAATATAACGACCCCCGAAAACCACAACCAGTCACCACACACACGAAGACACCTACGCGCACTGCCCACGGGAGACACGTCATGCACTTCTCGCCAGTACTACGCTACCACGGGTCGACTACTGCGCCACAAAACGGAAGATTACCCCCCCTAACAGACGGCGACATGGGTTAGACCGGGATGATGCACACTGCGCCTGATGACAATAATACAGCACATCCTGACGAATGCGGACTTGAGGGCATCATCATCGTGAAGACACGGAATCGCGAGCGCATATGGGAAATGGACCTCCCCTTCCTTCCCGCGGCAGCGTCCCTTCGATGTTTCCCCACGTCACATAGCTCCGTTCTTCCGCCTCATCAAGGTCACAGCGTGGTCTCCGCCAGCACGCACGGCCATCCTCAGTGCGCACACATCTGCTCCGCCAGCGCGTCCCTCAATATCAGCGCATCGCTCGTTGATGACTCCATACACACCGGCCTCAGTGGTTGATGCATCCCAAGATCGACTCTACGACGCACGCCGTCCGGACCCACCTCCCACAGCAGATTGTCGTCAAAGGGGACGCCTGCGTCGATTAGTATGTTGTGGAGGATGCAGACGGCGACAAATGGTTGTGGCAAGGTCTCCATGTTGCACTTGTGGGTGCGGAGGAACAAACTCCACATCCCCTTCAGTCTGCCAGACGCTCTCTCCACTGCTCCCCCAACCGTCTTCTGTTTGTTGTCGAACCGTGCCTCCGACGGGTGCTGCGCGAGACCGCCGTAAGGGACGACTATCCAATCGGACTGGGGATAACCGTTGTCGCCGAGCAAGTAGCCATTAGTCCGCACATGGAAAGGCAGCATCACAGGCGGCCGAGTGAAAAGTTGTCCTTCCTCCGCGCGTGCCCACAAACTGGACAGGTTCAGCATCCTTATGTCATGCACACTGCCCGGGTAACCGATGAAGACGTCGAGCACACGCAAGTTCATGTCGACGACCACCTGCGCCTGCACGGAGAATCGACGTTTCCTGTCGCAGTAGTCCTCCCCGGTGGCATTGGCGGGATTGTCGATGTAGATGTGGGTGCAGTTGATGAACCCATGGCAGTTTGGAAAACCCTTGTCTGCGAAGGCGCGCAAGACGACCGCCTTCTACAAACCTGTGGGCTAGGATATCTTATCGAGGTACGCAGTAAGCAATGCCGCAGTGACGTCCCGCACCGCCGTGATGCCGGAAGACCTGCCAATGCCGAAGCTACACGTCCCGCTGTCGTATGTCTCCCCCGTCGCCCACCTATACAGAGCGTACACGATGATGTGGTCCGACTGCAAGGGCACCCTGTAGAACGTGACACGGCGTTGCAGGAGTGGGGAAAGAGTCTCCGCGATCTCACGGAAAACACGCGGCGACATTCGAAGCTTGTCCTTGAAGTACTCATCTGTCGCGTCATCACATTGCCGCAGATCCTCCCACGTACCTCTTGTCCGCCGCTTCATCCACCACCTTGGAGTCCCCCGTGGGAACGCGCCGCACCCCATCGCGTAGCAGACCTGCAGCACCGCGTCGGAAATGGCACCGACGTCCAAGCACTGGCCACTCGTCGGCAGCGCAGACGGCTTGCAGCATGCACGAACGGCCGCTTTGAACTTCCCCTCTCTGCTCGCCATTTGGCAACGGAAAAGGACGGCATTCACCGCCGAAGCGACAACCGTCCTCTCTGCCGTCGACAGACCGTCACGCCCGACCTCGCCGTCAATATCCATCCCCGACGCCGCTTCCAAGGACATGAAGTCGATAACTACACACGACTGCACAAGGGACGCCACGTGGAAGAACACAGCGCCGCCTCTGCAGACAACCTTGGACGCCACGCACTGAAGACGGTCGTGTACCCGCGACGATGGTGAGAAGTCGATGCCGTCTCCGGTTGTGCGCAAGCGTAGACCTGCATAATCTTCGACGACAACCGTCGGCCACCATCGTCACTTATGCGAAAGCCCCGAACCGCAGACGCTGATGCAATCGGCTGTGGAACGTACGTCCACCACACGCCGCCAATCAGGGCGCAGCAAGATTTCGAATTTCGAAATTTGAACTGTGCCCATGCGCGCCATTTCGAATGGCCCCTTTTCTGTTTTTTTTTTTTTTTTTGGTTTCCCGCTGTGATTCGAATTCGGGACGGCCAACAGAGGTGGACCAACGTCATTTGCACGGACAGAAATTGCAGGACCACGCTCGCCCGCCCCCCCGTGTCCGCTTGTGGATACATAAATCTGGCCGCGGGAGCCCCGAGGAATCGTCCTCGGGGGATAACTCCGAGGATGAGTGGAACGAAGGCGGGAATTTCCTCGGGCGACTCCAAGGAATCGTCCTCGGGCCCCGAGGATGGCCCGAGGAGTGTCGAACGAGCCCCAAAGACCCAGACGCCCTAAGAAATAGTGCTGACAACAAACCAGTTTTTTTTTTTTTTTTTTTAACCACCAGTACCTCGCTCAGCTATCAAGTCCGAGCCTCGGCCGACCGGTACGCCAATCCGTGCCGAGGCTCGGACTACCGGGCACAKGCATCCCGAACGTCCATGTGAGACAGATGAAAAAAACGGGAAGAAAACAAAGAAATAAGAAAAATAAATGGTTCATTCCCGCTGCCTGCTGTAGGAAGGCTTCCGAAAGGCAAAGCGGGAATGAATCTTCCCACTTTCGCGGTACGATTCATTCCCGCTTTGTGATTTGAAAGTCGCAGAAAGAGAGGGAGAGAGAGAGAGAGAGAGAGAGAGAGAGAGAGAGAGAGAGAGAGAGAGAGAGAGAGAGAGAGAGA